TAAACGTGTATAATTGTGTATAATTGTGTATAAATGTGTATAAACGTCATCTATAGAAGATGAAAAGTGAGATTTGTCTCAGAACGACGTGTTTTTCTGCAGCGTTCGTCCGTACACACACGTGGCAGACAGCAGGAAACAGCTGTGAATGTTAAACACACACACAGAACTGCTCCTCTGCGGAGGTTCTGGCAGCTTGTGGATCTGAGAGCTGACCTCAGGGGTCAAAGGTCGTGGTCCGTCTGTCCACACAGGAAGCTGTTAGTGTTTTGGGTCAGACCCGCCCACTTCTGCTTAATGTCCATCAAAGACGCCCTGCTTCAGGATCGGGTCAGTATTTTGTAAAAGCAGCAGAGCTGCCACCTGAGTCCGTCTGGACCCGGGCCGACCCGGGCCGACCCGGGCCGACCCGGGCCTGCAGCTTCAGTCTCTCCTCTGACGAGCTGGAAACTCACCGTCGTGTGAACGATTCTTTGTGCGTATTTTAAAGGATCGGCTCGTTGAAGCTTTGTTTTTGTGTCGCTCCATTTTGAGAGTTTGAAAACGAAACGTTTCTCAGCAGGTTGTCCATCAACCTCTGAGGACCATCAGACTTTTTACTGTGGTCCATCAACCTCTGAGGACCATCAGACTTTTTACTGTGGTCCATCAACCTCTGAGGACCATCAGACTTTTTACTGTCGTCCATCAACCTCTGAGGACCATCAGACTTTTTATTTGAACTCAAGCGCAGCAGCTCAACAGACCGAGCTTCTCTGAGGGAACTCCTGCCTCCACCTCCACCTGCCTCCACCTCCACCTGCCTCCACCTCCACCGTCCATGTCTCACAATGAAAATACTATAAACCTGATACTACTAACTAATATATTCCACTACTAATACTGCTGCTAATAACAAATATATTCCTATTAACTCTACTATTATTAGTACTACTACTACCACTACCTGTTCTGCCACTATTCGTGCTACTACAACAACTACTACAACTACTACTAGTATAATATATAGTAAATTAGTAGTAGTGGTACTAGTAGAACTAGCAGCAGCAGTGATCTGCCGCTATTCATTCTACTACTCCTGCTGCTAGTTCTACTAGTACCACTACTACTAATTTACTATCAAGTCTACTAATAATGATCCTACTACTAGTACTTTTGCTAATATTACTACTACTACCACCACTAATTTTACTACAATAATTTTTTTCACTACTTGTTCTCATTCTACTACCAGCAAGAGTACTATGAATTTTACTACTACAACAGCAGCTATTAACAAATCTACTACTACAACGTTTTACCACTAGTAAATATACTACCACTACTAGTTACTATACTAGTAGTAGAAATTCTGGTACTACTAGCTACTATATCTAACAATTCTACCAGTTAGTTTTACTACTAATAGTAGTAGTTCTCATTCTACTACGATGACAACTACTACAATAATACTATACTACAAAATATTACAACTGGTAGTATAACTTCAACCACAGTACAGTAGTACTTTGTGGACCATCTAGACAGTGAGTATTTATTCAAGCAGTACTTTTACTTTACATATTTTACTTTACTTGGTAATAATCTGTGTAATTTGAGTCTGAAGAGGTTTTTATTTTTATGACGTCACAAACACGAGGGCTGCAGCCTCATGAGATATTTTGCTAACAGACACATGCAGGAACACGGATACCCGGACAGAACCACCCACCCATTGACCAGAACCTGGTCTGGATCCTGGACGTGCTCCACTTTTCTAAACTTTAAACTTTGTCAGTGTGAACTGAAGACCTGAAACCGGGTCCAGAACCCGGACCCTCACCCTCTCCTTCGGGTTTCTCCGGGTTCCGGCTCCACACGATCTGCCTGGTGTCCTGCCGGACCTGGACCGTCCTCCTCTCGGGTCTCTGGGACTTCTTCTGGTAGAACAGGGTCATCACGGTCCCGATCTCCAGGCTGTGCAGGACCCGGGGCCCGGCCTCGGCCCAGTCCAGGGTCCTGGAGGCCGGGACTGGACCGGGGGCCTCCTCTGAGCAGCCGTTGGTGCAGCCGAACCGGGCTGCACACATCCTGAGCTGGATCACGGCTCTGAGGCGGGTTCTGGAGCCTGGGGAGAACCGAGATCCAGCATGTCCAGAACCTCAGCAGGAGGAAATCCGGTTCTGAGCTCCGGCTCAGGACAACTGGATCAGAACAAACTGAGACATGTTTTCATCAAGCTGAAAGTCTGAGATTCGGTTCTGGTCCTCTGAGGCGGACTGGATCTGGTTTATCTTTTCCAGATGCGTCTGGCACCGGACCAGAGAAGTCCAGTCTTTCATCCCCGCTGGACTCAGGTTTCCAGCCAGAACCCGTCCTCCTCCTTCAGGCCACGACAGCAGAACCAGCACCAGAACCCAGATCCAACCTCCTCTCTGGTTCTGGAGGAAGAGAACCGGGTGCTGCAGCGGATCCGAGCGCCGGATGGAGATGGTGCGGTGTTCGCCCCCCCGCGCCCCCCTCACAGACCGCCGCTCCTCTCCGAACCCCGCAGACTGGACCTGTCGGAACCGAGCTGCGGGCCTCCTGCGCGTCTCCGCACGTCTGGGAGGAAACCAGAACCAGCGGACCGGAAAGGCTCGGTCTGATTTCCCCGGTTCTGTCTGAGCTGCTGGAAGAATCAGAGGGGGAGTCCCGGAGGAGCAGGCCGGCAGCAGAGCGACCTCTGGCGGCCTGAAAACATCCTGCAGCCCGGCTGGACGCTGGAGCTGAAGCTCGCTTGCGATTCCACAGCGCCATAAAGGGCTAGTCCAACCATTTTTAGTGCCGGAACCACATTTAGTACAAAAGCTAAAAGACTTAAGACTCTTCAAATCGAAACCAGATTATTCTTTACCACAATAAGAACATTTAAAATGCAATTTCTGATTTATTAAAACTTTATTCCCCCTGAAAGTAAAAAAAAAAAAAGCTTCAATGAGACGGTTTAAAACTGGACTAAATCCTTATACACTAAAAGTAGAAGCTTAGAAACAGAGTTTGGCTTTTCTAACTTTGACAGAAATATTCTTCGGCAGTTTGTGACTCGTGAAACGTTCATTTGTAAAAGTGCCCCCAAAACTTGGCCGTTTCAATGATGGTTTGAATTAGGACATCACTCCTTACAATATAAATTTGGTGGAATATAACTTTTTTTTTTTGTGAACTTCAAATTTTGAGCCAACTTCAAGGTCGAATGGGGTCCAAAAAACAAGGTCAAAGGTCAATCAGTTGTGTTCTGCTGGGATTTACATAAAAATGCTTATTTGTTTAAAAGCTGAAATACTTATTTTGATTTATAATAACTGTAAATTATTTAAAATATCATATACAGTAGTAAGCGTTTAGCAGAACGAGTTAATTTCCTTTTCCAGCACCTAAAAGCGATCCCAGTGTGATCTTCTGTGGAAGAAAATAAAACGAACCAAATTTATTTTAACAAGAATAATTACTGTTGGCTTTTCAGCATAAAATAACAACCAGCAAATAAAATGAAAATAACAAACGTCCTCTGTGGCCTTCTCAAATTGTTAATTAAGAACCGAGGCCAAAATATGTGTAGCTACAGAAATATATATATTTCTGCGTTAAACTTAGAGAAGAGTTTGAATTTGGGTTCTTCTGGTGGAAGTAAAACGTTTCTCTGAGCTCTTTTCTCTCGATTAAACTTAAACAAGAGGAACTTTTCTGAGGACGAGATCCTCCTGAGCTGTGAAAAGGGCCCACATGTGAAGAATGCGAGCGCTAACTGATCCACCTCAGAGATGCGACGGTCACAGATATCACCTCATCTCTTTGAGTATAATCAGCTCCATATGTCCTTCAGGTGTTTGTCCATGAGGGACCTGGAGGAGGATTTGAGTCTGGAGTCGGGATGGATGAAGAGCCTTCAGAGGGTCTCAGGGCAGAAGACTGAACTGAACCTGAACCCAAAAATGTGGTGGAACAGCAGAAATCATTGAGCCTGAATTGTTGTTGTACCTGTTTAATCTCACCACCAGGGGGCGACAAAGCGGAAGTTACAGGTTTTATTCAACTAAACAACAAAATATGAAGTTGTGACTGAATTTTATTGGACAAAAATACAAAACCGTAAAAATACACTAAACTGTCAAATACACCTGTGACGAGTTTATACGATTTAAGAGCGCTGAGGTAGAAATAACTGCTTTACTCCAAAAGGTGTATTTAATCTGACGTTGGTTCCCGTGCAGATTTGTGGAGATGAAAACTTTTAGTTTAGTTTCTAGTTGGTTTTACTAAATATCTGTTAAAAAAAAAAAAAGCTTAAACCAAAAGAAGACAGAAAAAAACACTAATGATGAATAAAAACTCACTTTTAGTTGAGTAGTTCAGTACTTCAGCAACGACGCCTGGCTGACTCGGCACAGCTCAGACTAACGGCGTGCTCTGCCTGATGCATGCTGGGTAAAAAGTCAGCATCAGTTGTGGACAGAGAACAGCACCACGTGACTCTAAAGTAACAAATCTGTCCACATCCGCTGAAAGTTTCCATCAGATTTCTCATCTTCTCTGGTTATCTGCATCAGAGGCGCCCTATAAATCTAAATCAACACCAACATTTTTAGTTCAGGAGATACTGTACGATTAATTAAAGACGTCAACAACGTAAAAATCACGCCATCGCTTCTACAGGCTGACCAATCAGAGGAATCAGGGGGCGGAGCCTTAAAGAGAAATATGAAGCCATGCGTGCCGAGCGATGCGCACAATAAGCCGAGCAGACGTGATACGGTACGTGCACGCTCGATTCTGCGTGCTCGCTCAAAGTACAGCAAGCCGTTTCACCGTATAATCAAACCACACCCCAACCTCCATTTACTGTGACCAACATCCTTAAAGATATTGACAGTCACACGATTACAAGAATATAATTCCAATCCAAACGTAAAATACAAGTTTTAAACTTCTATAAATCCTTAAAAAGTTATGGGTCAGAGTGCATCTGGATTGCAGCTATCCAAGTCAAAACTATGATACTGCGCCCGTCCTTCCATCGTTATTAGTCAGATTTTTATTTAAATATCCAAAACTTTTGTTTCCAGATCGCCCTGAAGAACAAATCAGAAGATTTTCATGCGGAGTCGTGCGCTGCTTATTTGAAAAGACCGTTAGTTGAAGTCCCCGTCCGGTTTGTGACGTTTGGGCCTGCGTCACTCACACGGACTCCACGTTACCTAATGTTGTAAAGAAGTGCGTGCGCAGTGTGGCCATCAGGAGAAGTTGAATTCGGAACAATTAAAATTAAAAGTGATTTCTGCTCGTGATTGTGTTTTTAATTTCATATCTGACAAGAAAAACACGAGCAGGAGAAATGCTATTTTTTAAGTCTTAAGTAGTAAATAGAGACGCGAGTGTGACGTGATTATGTAGTGAAACCACCTGCCGTACATGGTGCTGACAAGCAGGAGAACAGCTGGGCAGAGGTGAGCGCACACAAAAACGTTTAAATGAAAAGGGGCGACTAAAAGGCTTCGGCGATAGGAGTACCGTAATTTTTGGACTATAAGGCGCATTTAAAATACTTTAATTTTTTTTAAATCAACAGTGAGCCTTATGTATTAATCTGGTTGTGCTGATTTTATGTGCTACACGGCGCTCAAAAATCTGTTAAAACGTTTTAGTTTCGCTTAATACTCCATAAAATACAGTAAACTACAAAACCTTCTCATTCTGATCTGAATTTTACAAAAGCAGTTTAGGGGCCTTCATATTCTCAACCTTCTGCTGAAGGAAACGGGGAACGTCCACATGACTCCACTGTCGGCCTGCAGCAGCACAAATCTTCCGTTTCGTACTTTTTGTTTGAAAGTTTTTAACTTCGAACTCGTACAAATCTCCCCCCGCTTTAGAGACCGGCATCACTTCCGGTTGGGAACCAGGATGAAACGATAAATAAATCCTCAGTTGGCCAGTAAAAAGTTGCCGCTGGCTTCTTGCAGCTCTAAAATCAAGTTGTGGAGTTTCTCTGACAGCGCCACCTGCAGGGAGAAAAGACCAACGCTTCAGTTCTTCCACATAAAAAGTCTGTTTTTGTGCTTTTGTCGTATGTGACGTGAACCTGAGGCTCACCGTGTACGAGTCGGGCTCGTGCAGCCTCTTGTGTCGAGGGTGCAGAGTCTGCAGGGAGCTCTGGACCTTTGCTCTGGTTTCTGCAGCGCTGCACAAACGCTCCGTGACCTAAAACACATTTATCGAGACTTGAACTCCAGCAGAGCTCACCTTTACAATCCCGTCAAGTTTTAAAGTCATCAATGAGCTCTAGAGCCGTCAATAAATGTGATTCTCCACAGTTCTTTCATATCGTTGTTCCTGTCAGACGTAAATTATTATCAAATTTATTATTATCATAATAATTTTTTTATTGTTTAACATTTGAAGCCATGTTTTTTGTTAAAATTCCTTTTTGTCCCTCCTTTAAGTCCATCGCTGAGAAGTAAATCACACATTTTATAGTATCAAAAACCATAAAAATGGACTTTATGGACACTTGATCTTATTAGCGTTACTTATTTGTGTGTGTATATGTAGTCCCTCATTTATCACGGGTGTGAGGTTCCAGGCCCCGCCCACGACACGTGAAAAACCGCGAAGTAGGGATAGTAGTGCACGAGAAGAGAAGCGCAGCTGATGCAGCACGGAGGAGAACTTGACAGTTTTAGGATTTAAACTTTAACTAGAGAAATTGCATTTCCTGTGAAACTGCAGTGTGAATGCTTATTGCTGAAGAACTTGCTAAACAGCTGAAATGTAGCCGAAATGCAAGAACAAGCCAAAGTTAGCAGAAGGAGCAGAAGGAACACATATTTGCTGAATTTGGTTTAAATAAGTAGAAATTAGCAGAAAAAAAATTTGTAAATTAGCTAAAGAAAAGCTGAAATTAGCAAGAAATAGCTGAAAAGTAGCTGAAACGGCAGAAAGAAGTTTACATTACCAGCAGAAAGTGGCACGAGCACAATTGTGCCCAATTGGGTTGAAAGCGGCAGAAACGTGCACATCAACGTGGAAATTCTCTGTAAAAAACTGAAATGTACGAAAATAAATTCTAAATAAATAAATTTTAAATATGGATTGTTTATTGAAAATATTACAGCATTTAAATTGTTTATTGACACAGAAGGGAGGGAGCAGGTGATGAGTGTGACTGCGGAGGAGAAGTGGGCGGAGCAGAGGGCTGCAGGTGGCAGAGAGCGGACATCATGACAGGCTGCAGGAGGGAGCTCCTCCCTGCACCTGCGCACAGGTGCTAAATCATTACAAATCATTTATTTTAAATAAACAATCTATGCCACCCGTGCATCAATCAGCCAGCTGTGTCATGTCAAACTGTGAAAAACTGCGAACCAGCGAGTCGCAAATGTCGAACCGTGAAGTAGTGAAGGACACTCTGAAGCAAAACCTTAACTTTTTGGCATTTATTAACTACAGATCAGCTAAATGAGTCCCCGAGGCTCAGTGGGATTAACCTGTTTAAATAAAGGTTGAACATGTAGAACATCAATGAATATGCAGAAAAATATCTGAACTGACTAAAACAAAAGGATCTGGATCCTCACCTGCCCTTTGGAGAACACTTCCTGTCTCAGACAGATCACCTGAGCTGGAGTGACTGCAGCAGGACAGTTCTCCCCCCCCAGTGGGTAACAGCTGAGGGGGAGGCCCGCCTTGGGGGGAGGCTCCTCCTTCAGACACAGCAGGTCCAGAAAAGGGTGACCTGTGGAGGAGATCAGAGCTGAGCACACCGTCACTCCTGTCGGACGGAGGGAGAACCTGAAGGCGTCTCACCCTCAGGGTCCAGGAGTCTGTACACGGCTTTCCTCCCTGGAACCGTGCTCTTCTTCGGGTCCTCGCTGATCTTCATCCTGGGTCTTCCTCGCACCTCCACCAGCTTGGACCGAAAACAAAACGCCACGCACAAGTTAGACGCCAGAACCCTGCAGCGGGACGGGGTTCTGTTCGACCCGTTACCTTGTAAACACAGCCCAGAGACGGCTGCTTGGTGCAGGTGACCAGATGCGTTCCGACACCGACCGCGTCGATCTCGTTCTCCTGAAACAAAAACAGGCAGAACCTCCAGGAGGACCGTCGGGCCGGTTCAGAACCTGGTGCTTCACGATGAGCCGCTCACCTTCTTGGTGAGTTCGGTCATGCTCTGCTCAGAGATGTTGTTGGTCCCGACGATGGTCAGAGTCTCGAAGGCAGGGACGGAAAAACTGGACAGACAACAGAAGGAACTGGAAAAAGCAGCCTGAACGCTGAACGAGCCGAAGTTAGCTGAAAAAGCTAAAGCTCAGACGATGAAGATAAAACAAGAACAAAAACTAAATGACGCAAAAGAATAGATAAGCTAAAAGTAGTAAAACGCTATGTAAATGTTAACCGAAAGCAAAAGATGCTAGCTCAAACTAAACAAAGCATTTAGCCAAAACATAAAAGAAGCAAAACAATCACCAAAAGTGACAAAAAAGCTAGCTAAAGCTTATAAAAAAGCAGGTAAAGGTCAGACAAAAGAAGAAAAATGTTGGCTTGAAACTAAAAGTAGCAAAACGCTAGACAAATGCTAAAAGTATCAAAATGCTAGCTAAAACTTGCAAAACTTTAGCCAAAACATAAAAGGCAGCTAAACAGTCAAAAAAAGCTAAATGTTGGCTTAAAACTAAAAAGAGCAAACAAATATTTGAAACTAGCAAAACATTAGCCAAAAGCTAGTAGCAAAAGCTACTACTAACATTAGCTAAAAAACAAAACAATTAAAATTTAAAAAAAAAATGGAAAAAAAAAAAAAAAAAAAAGCCAAAACTGTAAACTAGCCAAATACTAATTAAAGCAAAAATTAGAAAAATCACTAGCTCAAACTAAACATTAGGCAAAACCTAAAACTATCAAAACAATCACCAAGACTGGCAGAAAGCAGCGTACAGCTAGCCAAAAGTATTAAAGTGTTAGCTGAAAGTAGCAAAACATTAGCCAAAACATAAAGGCAGCTAAACATTAGTCACAAGAAGCTAAATGTTGGCTTACAACTAAAAATAGCAAATATTTTAAACTAGCAAAACATGATCCAAAAGCTAATAGTAGCAAAAGCTACTAACATTAGCTAAAAACACAACTGCAAGCTCAAAACGGCAAAAAAAATAGCCACAACTGTAAAGTAGCCAAATACTAACTAAAAGCAAAAATAGCTCAAACTAAACATTAGCCTAAACATAAAAGTATCAAGATGCTAGCTAAAACTATCAAAAAACTAACCTAAAAGTAAAAAAACAATCACTGGCAAAAAGCAGCATACAGCTAGCCAAAAGTGTCAAACTGCTAGCTGAAAGTAGCAAAGCATTAGCCAAAACATAAAAACAGCTAAACATTAATTGAAAGCTAAATGTTGGCTTAAAACTAAAAATCTAACAACCTTCTGAAACTAACCAAACATTAGCCAAAACCTAAAAGCAGCAAAATGGTAGCTAAAAGTAGCAAGATGCTAATTAAAACCAACAATTGGGTCATTTAGCTCCTCCAGAGGCGTCAAATCAAAGAAGCGAGACTCGCGGCGTCTCACTCACCGCTCGCTGCAGAGTCTGAAGACACGGCGGACGTCCACGGACTGCCTGCAGAGGTCCCCGCTGTCCAGACGGACTCCCACGGGTCTGTAGCCGAGCTGGCACAGCGCCAACGCCACCGCGCAGAAGTTCAGCAGCCCGCTACTAAACACACACAGAAACACGCTCAAGTCCCGACAGACGAACGGCGCTTCAGGGAAACTTCCCACATCTTCTGGTTCGGTGAACGACTTTGGTTCCATTTTCAGGAAACATCAAGAAGTACCGGGCCACGCTGTAGCTGTCAATCACTGGCAGGAAGTTCTGCGGGTAGGCGATGGCGTAAGACGAGAACGCTGCCAGCTCGCCCTCGTGGATTCTCCCGGGTTCAGCTCCCAGGAGTTCACAAACTCGACTCAGCCAGGATTTTATTAGGGAGACGACGTCCACCAGGTCACCGGCGCCGTTCGCCGCCACGAGGGTCTGAGGCAAGAAAAAACCCAGAGAGACATCAGAAAAAACTAGAGAACGACGGCTGAACTGGTGTGTGGCAGCTAAAACAAGCTGAACAGGAGCTAAAATATAAAAAGATGCTAAAGGTCAAATTTAGCCAAACAGCAGCTAAATGCTAAAACTAACTAAACAGTAGCTTCAGTGTTGTTCATGATAATAACAATAGCTAAAAGCTAAAAAAATGTGCTAAATAAAAGCTAAGAGCTGAAATTTAAACGCTAGCTTAAAGCTAAAATAAGTAACATATAAGCTAAGATAGAAATGACAAAATAAGTAACTAAAAGTTATAATGAGCAAAATAGCTAAGAGTTAATGTTAACAAAAGATAGGTGAACTTCATTTAGCAAAACAGCAGCCAAAAGTTAAAATGAGCTAAAACAGTAGCTAAAAGCCAAAATGACCAAAGCAATAGGTGTCACGAGCCGAACATTTGCTAAAATAACCTAACTGTAAGTTAAAGCAGAATGTAGCAATCAGTGTCTAAAAGATAAAATGAGCAAAACAGTAGCTTAAAGCTAACAGAAACAAAACTGTAGCAAAAATTTTAGGGTTGCCAAACAGTAGATGAAAGCTAAAATCAATGGAAGTTTTGAGCAAAATTCAGCAAAACACTTGCTAAAAGCTACAATTAGGAAAACTACTGTTAAAATCCAATATTAGCAAGACAGTAGCTAAAGGCTAAAATGAGCTAAACTGTAGCTAAAATTAGCATAGGGAAGTAAAAACATCAGATAAGCTAAAGTAGCTTAAAGATAAACGTTTTGAAGGAAATGAACTGTGCTCAGTGTTTCTATGGGGAAAGTTGTTGTAAAATACAAAGATTGTTTTTAAAAATTAAAACGATTAAACAACTAAAAGCCGAAGGTCGAGTCGGAACCTGATCTGAGGGGAGAGCACGTACTTACCTGTGGCCACACCTCCTCCAGGGAGGTGAAGGACGTGACGTAGGAGTGGGCCATGGTGCCCACGACGGGGATCCCGAACAGGAAACCAGCCTGGACGTTACTGGTCAGGTCAAACCCTGGAAGACAGATCCTAAAAAATGAGCACGCGCTCCGTCCAGATGTGAAACGGGTCACGTTTTGGACGGAGCGCACGACGCTCACCTCCGATGTGCGCGTATCGGGAGGCGGAGAGTCCTCCGTCCGGACCCTGCGCCCGCCGGAGGCCCATCTCCAGCAGCATCCTCTTGGGTCCGGCTGCCAGGCGGAAACGGGCGGCGTTACTGCACACCAGACTGAGGAGACACCGGACACGTTGTGTTAGCGAAATATCCCATGAACCACTGGACGGATTTGGGAGAAACTTTCAGAGCGAGCATCTAAACCCGATCCCAGTGACTCAAAGCATTTACAACCTTCCTGATCCACCTTTAAAGTTTTCCAACAGGTTCAGAAACAATCAGATTAATTTCTGCCGGTTGTTGTAGCACCGGGAAATCCCTTCGTATAGTATTTGGCGCCACCGTGAAGCTCGGAGAGCTCCCCGTTTAAATGCGGAGTTGGAATTTTCGGTTTTCGAGCGCCTTATCTGTACGACAGTCGGATTCGAAGTCATTTCTGAGGAGCCGGAGGTCGTTTTTCCCAACTTTGCTTTGACCTGAGGTCGGTTGATTAAGACGAGTGGTTACCTGGCGTAGTTGACCAGGCAGAGCAAGCTGGTCTCCAGGAGCTGAACCACAGCCAGCGGGCCCTCCACCTCCATCACGGGCACCTGCAGACGTTAAACAGCCGTCACTTCCTGTTACCCCCTCCTGGCTGCGAGGGCTTCGCCTGTTAACTCACCCTGGCGAACGCCACCGAGCCCTCCGGGACGGAGCGCAGCGTCACGCCCGAGCAGTCCAGGCCGAGCAGGAACTGGAAGAAGGCGGGGTCGGTGGTGGGGGGCAGGACGGAGCGCAGGAATTCCACATCTGGGCACAGACGTAAACCCAGCGTTAATAATAATAACCTTTATTTAACCAGGTTTGTCCCAATGAGATCAAAAGAGCTCTTTCACAAGAGAGACCTGGCCAAGACTGACAGCACACAGAGAGAGGGCAGAAAAAACACTCGGTAAAAAACACTCAGTAAAAAACACTCGGTAAAACACAATCACAATAAACATGGACTTAAACGACTCAATTAAAACAATTACACTTCTGCAACGTGAGTAAAACGGGATCTATCATGGTATTAAATACATTCAGAGATACTAGTGTTCCAAGTTGAAGCTTTGACTGCAAACTGTTCCATGAGGTTGGAGCAGAAAAGCTGAAGGATTTCGGTTCTGACACGAGGAACACTAAGATTAAAAAAAGTCTCGAGAGCGGAGGCTGCAGGTCGTCTTCTTCAAAGTTAACAAAGACGAACGATAAGGTGCTGCCGACTTAACCACAGCCTTGTAAATCAAAACATACCAATGGCCAAGCCGACGTACACGCAGAGACGGCCATTTTACCTCATCATACAAGAGACGGTGAGGAGTTCAGATTATCTAATCCAGCCACACAGAGATTAAACTCACGTCTGGAGCGTAGTTGTAAATCAAAAACATGGAGAGTGAAGCACATCTGGATTCCAACTTGAGGACAGTTTAAATTAAAAAAACGAAGTACTTCCTAGTACACTTATTTGACTATTATAGTTTTATTTAACTGAAAGCAATCCTCCTAAATTTTACTTTAGGAGATTAGGAGACATCAAGCAATTAAATAATACCAGAGCTGATGACACTGTGTACGTTCTGGATTAAAATCTCTCAGGAAGAACGTTCGATCAACAGCTGCTCTTGGTGCCAGATGATCCCTGGAAGCATTTGAAGTACTGTAATACGCATTATACTGCACTCAATCTGAAGTAATACTGCTTCCTGAAATTCCTGTAGGATTATCTGTCAGTAAAAGTTCCGTTTCGTCCTGTGAGCCTCTTAATCGTCACAGAACCTCGTGTGCCGACGGAAGCTGAGGTCAAAGGTGAAAACTGGAGAAACTATTTTCTAAAAAGGGTCAGAGTGAACGCTAAAACTGAGCTGATGCTTAAAAAAACAGCTAAAACTTAACTAAAAGCTGCCACTGAAACGCTAGCACAAAGCTCCAAAATGCTAGCCGAGCGCTAAAACGTGGAAAAATGCTAGGTCAAACTTACAAAACAGTAGCTAAAGAGGAAAATTACCAAAAGGCTAAATGAAAGCAAAATGTATCTGAAAGCTAGCTAACAGTTAAGAAGCAATGACGAGGCCTGGTAAAAGCTAAAAAGGTAGAAAATAGTTTTACTAAAAGCAGAAAAATGCAAGCTAAAATAATCAACACAATAGTTAAAAGCTAAAATTTGCAAAAGGCTAGCTGAAAGTTACAAGTAGCAGAAGGCTAGTTGAGGCTTATAATAGCAAAACATTTGTTAAAAAGCATCAAAGGGCTAGTTGAAAACTAAATGTAGCCAAAAGCTAACCAAAAGTAGCAAATTGTTACCTAAAAGTAGCAAGAGGTTAGCTGTAAGTTAATGGCGCAAAAGGCTAGCGGAAAGCTAAATGTAGCTAAACATTACCGGTAGTTAAAAAGCATCAAAGAGCTAGTTGAAAACTAAATGTAACCAATAGCAAGCTAAAACTAGCAAAAGGCTGCCTAAAAGTAGCAAGAGATTAGCAGTAAGCTAAATGCAGCAAGAGTAGCTGAAAGCTAAATGTAGCAAAACATTAGTTAAAAGCATCAAAAGACAATTTGAAAACTAAATGTAG